AATCTTATTCCAAGATTTTCTAAGCGTCGATGTTTTTACTGAATTCCAGGCATCAGCTATCATCATGCAGCAATCTTTTAAATCAATAGCTTTGATTGAGTTTCGAAAATCCCCCTCATTTTGTTCATCCGAGAGTAAAATCTTCCTCAAAAGTTGCTTTCTATAAAGACATTTTAAGGTTTCAATGACACTTTGATCCATCGGCTGAATCAAAGGTGTCACATTGGGTGGCAGGAAAACAACACAAAACATTCCATTCTCCCGATCTAAGAGATCTGGATTTGGATGCGACGGAGCATTGTCCAAATTCTTTTGATATTTCTTCACATTTGGAATGAAAGTCTTATCATACCACTCAATAAAAATGCTGGTGTTCATCCACCCTTTGTTTTGAGACGCATAAATGACAGGTAGTGTTTTAAAATTTTTGAAGGCTCTTGGATTTTTGGATTTTCCAATCATCATTAAAGGTATTTGATGATTTCCAGTTGCATTTGCGCATACGTTAATTGTGACTCTTTCTTTAATTATTTTGTTCCCGGAAACACGCTTTTCACCTTCTGAAGCCAAAGTTCTTTGTGGTAGAGATTTCCAATTCAGTCCACTTTCATCTGCATTATAAATAAATTCTTCTTCATATCCTTCAGTTTCAATAATGCTTTCTAATTCCTTTACAAAATTTGAAGCGGATTCGGTAGATGCAGAAAGTTTCTCGCCATGAATTTCTGAGTCGCGTATTCCATGTCGATGTTTAAAGTTCCTTAACCATCCTGAACTAGCCTGAAAAGTACCTTTTCCACCAAACTTCTCATGAAAAAATAAAGCCTTCTCGCATAATAGGTTGCCAGATATTGGTTGACCTAAAGATCTTTTTTCTAGGAACCACAAATAAAGTGCTTTGTCCACTTCATCGTTGCTTGACTTTTTCATGCATTTTCGATCCAAATTTCCATTGTTTTTGTCCATTACTGAAACATAATTCATAACCAATTCTTCATTTTTTTTCAATTCCGATACTGTCGATTTTCCTACGTCATATTCTGCCGCTAATTTACTGCCACTTTCTCCATTTTTCAATCTTTTTAAAATTTTCGTTTTATCACTTAAGGAAAGATAGATTCTCTTACGTTTGCACAACATCTTTCTAGATTCTTATGAAAAGCACTTTTCTCAGGTAACTCTACTTTTCAACTGATTGTAATCTTGACAACAGAAAACCTGTTGTCCAATAGTGCATTTCGGAAGTGACGTCATAAAAACATGGTCATTCTACTGGTCATTTTCTAGTTTACATGATGAAACCAAATTCTGTTAATTTCCTCGAAAAGTAACC